CCGAGTTCATTTTTTAAAGAGGCAACCCTGAGAAGACACAACAGTCACATTTTGGGCCCAAGATAATAGTTTGGAAAATCACCAAGTTGGGATGCTCCTTTCCTCTCAGAATATTGCGTATAACTTCCCCCCTCTCTTTTGTTCTTACCATCCCTATGAACAACTGACCTGCCTAAGTCTGGATGGGAAATTAAACAACTGAGCTACCTAAAGTCTGGATGGGAAAAGACTGCAAACAAACCGGGGGCGAGGCAATAATATTGAATCCGCAGGGAGAGCGTCCAGGAATCATCTCCTCCGTCCCACAAACCTTGCTCTTGAGCGGTAGGTATGGTTTAAAACCCTGGCGCTTCTTTCAATTCAAATCCCACTCTTGGGATGGCCCCTTCCCTTCCTTGAAAACAGCGGCTGCGGTCTCCGGGACCGACCGCCTCTCCCCCCTCGAGAGGTGCACGCTGAAGGTATCTAACTGCAGAGGCGAGGCGAGAGGGAACTCCTTCGTGCTGATGTCAGGCGTGGCGTAGAGACTGGCTCGGCAGAGGGTGTGATTGCGTTTGGCTGAGCTTCACACAGCCCTCTCTATCTTCTCCGGCTAACTTCCCGGCGCTGAGGCGGGTTGCGGGGACAAGGTACTGTGCGGACCCTCCCGCTCGCTTTCTCTCTCTCTCTCTCTCTCTCCCCCCCCCCCCCACCTCGCCTTGCTCGTTCGCTCGCGGACGAAGGCTGCGGGCGCGCGCCGAAGGAAAGGCGTCCAACCCGGAGTACTCGTCGGGGGCGGGAAAATGGGGGGCGAGGGAGAGGGCGAAGTTGGAGAAGATGCAAAGCGCGGGCGTTTTCGGGACCGGCCGGGTCGCCTTTTGGCGGCAAAAGGACTTCTTGAGGCAAGACGTTCCAGCCCCAGATTGCCCTGTGTGGGCTGTCACTGAAATAGTTGCGAGGGGCTGGAAGGAAACCTGTGCAAAGGGTGTGAGGGGCTAATTTGCCCTTCCCGCTTCCAACTCTTTTTCGCTCGCCCGCAGGTCTTTCGGGAGGGAGGGAGGGATCGTGGCGGCGTGTGTGTGTGTGTATGTGTGTGTGTGTGACTTCCGAGAGATGGCAATCTGGGAAGGGTTTTTATTTTTAAAAAAAGGGTTTCCTTAAAGTATGTACGATAGGCAGGTCCTTGAGGAAGCAAACGGACGGCTTCTTATTTTAGCCGTGAGGGAGGGAGGGAGGGAGGGAGGGAGCGAGAAAAAGAAAGAGAACTTTGTATGCTGAGAGAAAGAGACAGCGAGAGAGAGAGAGGGAGAAGAAAAAAAGATGGGTATAGAAACTGCAGGGTACCGTCTCGGGCGATTCACCTCGGACTGCCTTGCAAAAATGGCACGCAGTGTTGCCCCAAGAAACCGTGCGAGCGCAAACTTTCTTCGCTTTTCAACCGCTCCTCCCCGCCCTCTTAAGAGGAAGGAAAACTATTTTAATCCAGGCTTGTGGTGGGTTGGGTGCTTTTCAACGTGGCCGTTGCCCTGCTGGTGTCAGCGGGTGCTTCTTTGAAGGCTCTGCGGCTTTTATCTGACCCCGGGGAAGGCCTGCTTGGCTTCATTTCCTGTGAGTAAGTGGGCGTTGATTATTTGGATTTATTGAGGATAACATGGCACAGTGTTGCATGCCTCAGTTTAGTAGCATAAGTATGGAACACGATTCTGTGCTGAGGATCTGAGCATGCTTGTGCTCTTTCCACTTGGCTGTATCTGTCTCTGCAATGCAGGAGATAATTACTCCCAATTAATGCCTAGGTAGTTTATATATATATAAAAAAAACACAACACCAACGCACAATTGGAAGAGGTGCTTGGTATTTTTTCAACTTAAATAACGGCGAAGTCCCTTCCTAGGGATAAGAAGATAAGTGATGCCCTGCTTGGTCCAGATGGATTCCTGACCCATCTTGTGCTGGAGTCTGGTCTCACAGTGGCCAACCAGCTGCCCACAGAAGCCCATTAGTCTCCAAGCAGATGGCCTTCGGAGGCAGCCCCATTAAAGTTAATAGCCCTTGATCGCCACGAATTGGTCCAACTGTTTTTTTTTAAGCAAGCCAAATAAATTTGTCACCAGCACTACATCTCTTGACTCTGCATACAATAAAGACTGAGAAAAAAAACAGCCTTTTTTCTTTAGTCCTTATTGTATGCAGAGTCAAAACAGTAAGATTTATTCCATAGTCCACACTACAGAAGCGTCAAGATTTTTCTCTAGTTTCCTTCCTGAAGACTCTTAAATGAAATGTGGAAATGTTGTAAGAGACAGCAGTTTTTGAGTAACTATCGTGCATTACTCGACTATAGCCTTTCTGCCAGTCTAAATGATAGACAGCAGTTGAGTTTCAATGTACACCTCCGCTCAGGCATTGGAGGATTCCCTCTACCCCTCCTCACCAGAAAGCTTTAGGAGGAATTTTGGGAATTTGTAACAGAAGGAGCCTTATTCTTTGAGCACTGAGTGAAAAGGCCATTTATATCAGTTAGGTGGCAGAAAATTTTAAGGTTTAATTAGCATGAGCCTCCTCAGTCATCTTTGCCACCTGTGTTTGGCAAAGGAAGATGTTTTTGTGTAGACTATAGCAAGCTTAATAAGAAAACAACCAAACAGTTCTCTTGTGCTTTGCACTGATGACCTGCTGGAGCAACTTCAGACAGCCAAATACATTTGAGTTGGCCGAAGGATACTGACAAAGATCCTTATCAGAAAGTGGTATGAAGAAGCCAGCCTACATTATGCACCATAAATTGTATAAATTTAAAATTTTCATGCTTGGTCTTTCCTAAAACTGATTCCTGAGCTGCTCAAGGATTTCAATGACTTTCTTCTTCAAACAAGCCTTGATTCCTGGCAACTGCCTGGACAGATTCCTACAGTTTTCTTGGCAAGATTTCAGAATGACAAGATGCCACTGTACCCTTTCCTATGGCAGAGAAAGCGTGACTGGTTCAAGGTCACCCATCTGACTTCGTGCCTAAAGTGGTACTAGAATTCAGTCTCCCAGTTTCTAGCCAGGTGCCTTAACCACACCAAATTGGCTGTCCCTAAATCACTGTGCCATGGCATATTTAGATAATGTGGCCATTTTTTCAACTACCTGAAAGCATAGCTGGAACAACTAGAGATGATTTCCCCACTTATCAGGGATACTAGGTTCACTATCCAGACCAAGATGTTCACAATTGGTCTAAACCAGACAGTTGGATAGGTCATTTTGTTATATCTCCTTTGATAGGGAAGGAACAGGCTAGGAGTCTAGGAATGCTTTGCCCCAACGGGAAAAAGCAGATGGGGTTTTTCTTGGGATTAGCTAATTACTATAGGAGTTTATGCCAAGGAAGTCACTCACAAGACTGTTGCTGTAGTATAATATGATGGTGTAGAATAGACTGAGGAGTGCCAGGTTGCAGTTGCCTCAGCAGTTGTCTGATGTTATGAGGTCTAGACTTTGCTGTGTTAGCCATTGATGCCTCAGCAAGGGGTAGTGAGACAGAGTTAATGCAAATGGTGTAAGTGAGCCATGCTCTTCATCTGGTGATCTCCAGATGATAAAATGTCAGAGAGGAAATCGCATTGGTTTGCATATGAAAAGGAATGTGATGCCATCATTTGTACCCTTGAGAAGTTAAATGTTTACCACAGGGGTGTCAAACTCACGTCGTCACGTGACGTATCACAACTTTTTTTCCCTTTGCTAAAACGGGGGTGGGCATGGCCAGCGCGTGACACATCCAGCCTGCAGGGTTAGGGTTAGGGTTTGACACCCCTGGCTTACCAGATCTATGGGGCCATTGTTTTGAACTTAGAACTGTCCATCTAACATTGAAGCGGCTGAAGTATATCCAGCACAAGAAGACGTTTATACATGGAGTCTTTCTCTACAGAAGTATGATTTCAAGATCATATATATTTGAGGGAGGATGATCACATTGCTAGATGTGTTGCCCAGGAAGTCAATAACTCATAGTGGAATGTAGAAGAAAGGTTGACCAAATAATGGAACGATAGCATTTATAGGTTATCCCAATTCATTTTCTCTGTATAATGTTCTAAGTGTTGTCATAGTATTCTTTCCCATGAGAACTTTCAGGAGTTGTAAGCTGTTGCTTTTTTAAAAAACCAGTGTTTGCTCCCTAGTCTACTTTTAAAACTAGGGGTGTTTTGAATAACCAATCTCATTATCAATATTGCAGCTTCACTGCCAGGCTAACTACCACACTGTATCTGAGTTTGAATACCTATTCCCAAGTATGGAAATTCGGGCGACTCCTTCATCCTCTTCCCTACTTGAAAAAGGATTGTTCTTTTAAAATGTGAAGACAGTACTCTGGGGACCTTGACCTAGATGTTTTTGTGCTTGAGCTGGAGAAACAAGTGTAATGTACCAGTTCCCAAACTTTTTTTAAAATATTTAATATTGTATTGTTTTTAAAACGGTGATAAAAAGAAATGGAAAAAAGAAAAAAGAAAAGTATATAGATTAATAAAATATGAGATTCATTTGTACAAAATACAGTAGTTTTAAAAAGGATAGTTATATAAATTTATGTGAAATGGGTGTGTGAATATTAATTGCATTAGATAACTATATATAGAATTGTAACTTTTTATTGCTAAAATGATATATTGTAGCTCCCCAGCAGCTCTGATAAATGCTTGCAATTAAGTCAAGCTGCTGGAAGTCCAAAGAAAAAGAAATAGAAAGCTTTGCTTCAGGATTCAGGTTTTTCCTTAGATAGCTGCTTTAATTAAAGATCGTGTTAAATTGTACATTTTTCTTCATTTTAAATTGTGTTCCAGATTTAAATTTCTCTTAATTTCTTGGGAACTAATATATAAAATCATTAATTTATACTTGTCCTAGTAAAAGAACCGTTCAAAGAACGTTGAACATATTTTTGAAAATTGAGCTTCCAATATCATGTACTTTGAATTACATTATTAAAATAAAGTTTGGTTTTCTTTATCACATATTAGATTGGTTTAAATCCCAAAGGAGGTGGAAGGAAGGGCTGAAAACATCAGTTGCAAGCCTTGTCTATGCTACAGGACAGCATGTTGCGTTACAAAAATTTTTAATATTTTATTTGGAAGAAAAGCAGTTATTTTCCCATGTGATTCACCACTTCTACATTTTTCCTGAAAACAGATTTTTCTGTACTGTGAGTTTTAATTGTAAGTACCAGATTTTTTTTGTCTGGGCATATGCAGTATTCTATATGGGCAGTTAAAAGTGAATTTTCATGTATTTACGAAGGCTATTATCAACATTTAATTGAATAGTTATGTTGATAAGCAGATAGATCAAGTTATATGCCTCAGAAGCAGCCTTGAATAATTACTGTATATTTTTTAAGCTAATGTGCAGCAAGTGAGAATTAATTATAAAGTGCTTTGGATAGTGAATATTTCTAAGAATTAGAAACAAAATCTTTCATATAAATCTGTTGGGATCGCAGCTAAAAATTTTAAGCCAGAAGTGATCAAAATGTGGCATTATTAGTTAGCATTAAAATCTATCAAGGCTGCTATAAAAAAGAACCATGCTATAATTCTTAGCTTCCTGGAGCAAATTGCAATGGTTCTAAAACAAGGCTTTCGATTTCGTATTGGATTCACTTATTCTGTATTTTGGATGAACCTGCCAAGCATTGTTCTGATAATTCAGAAATTCTTGAAATATTACGAGTCATCCAGGTGGTAAAGTCAGAATAATAGCTGTGTTATTGCATGTTTGCAAAACAGTCTAGTAGTAGTTTGAAGAAGGTTGTTGTAAATAATCTCATAAGGTTTAAAATATATTGCCTGATCTTGCAGAAGTGGATCTTGAATGTTTCTTTTTAAGATGCAGCTGCTCAGGATGGAGTCTTGTAAGTTTTCTTTTTTATTTTTTTATTGTTGTTGTTGTTGTTGTTATTATTATCCTCCCAAAACTTTATACTTACAAGTCTGGAGAACTGCATATCTAGGATGTAATGTTTCTTTTTGTGGGAGGGGTATATTTGTTTTTTCGGTATCTTTCGATATGTATATAAGCATGTGTTACATATTTTGTAAATACAATATATTTGGTTGAGGTTGGGTGTGGTGGAAAGGAGATAGGCAAGACATGGAATTATAAAAATGTATCTTTAGGTCTAAGACATCAGTATTCACCAAGAATAATGTTCAGTTTCTTATAAAGTGTTTCTGCTATGTTATAGCAATAGCATTTTGTTGTGGCCCGTTAGCGGCCTGTGCAGCTAATAGCTGATTCCGACAATGAGGAAGCTGGTTTGGTGCTGCGCCAGCAGCCTGTGCAGCTGGCACTCGAGTCAGACAACGAGGAGGCTGGAGAAGATGCGGTGCCAGAGGCGGGGATTCAGCCAGGGCCTTCAGAACTTCCAGAAGCTCCCTTAAGTGAAGAGGGCGAAGAGGAGGAGCCTCTTCTCGATCCACGGGCGCGCAGAGCTGCCAAAAGGCAGGAGTGGCTCCTCAGGAGGAGATCTTCTCAAGAGTAAGGCTTGGGGCTAATTGGCCAATCCCTTAGCCTATTTAAGGAGGAACGCTGACTGATGCAATTTGCAGGGAACAACTTAGTTCACATACCTTCGTGTCTTGTCTTGCTTATCAGCTTCCTGCAAATTGCTTCTGGGCAGTCTGCCAATCATAGTAAGCTTTCAGTTATTATTCTTTGAATTCTTGGCGGCTGTTAATGCAGTTAATTAACAGCCATTGTTGTAAAAGACTGGTTTATTTAGTAAACTAAGGTTTGAACGGACTTTGTGTGTGCTGCGTTCTTTGGGATCCGTAGCTGGGGCAGAACACACTTAGACTTTATACAGTATATCGCTTCATGGTGCTTTACAGCCCTCTCTAAGCCAGGGGTACCCAGCCGCTGGCCTACAGCCCACTACCAGGCTGTGAGCTGTTTGGAACTGGGGGGAAGAATTGGGTAGTATGCACATGCATGCCCGCCACTTATGCAAATGGAGCTGCACGCACCCATGCTTGCTGATCACTTACACAGAACCATCCCCTCCCTCCTCCTGCAGCAGTTCCTCCTCTGACCCGCTCTTGACTCACGAACAGTCCCAGTATTGCAGAATATACAGCCTCGTGCTACATAACTAAGCTCTATTTCATGCTGAATAAAGTAATTATTAATGTATCTTAAATAGAAAACGATCTTTAGATAGATTTTTACTCCAAAAGCATTTTATTAAAATAAATTTGATAAAAATAAAAAAATTGATTTAAATTTAAAAAATCTGTTTTAAATTTTAAAAATCTGATTTCTTTTATTTTTGTTTTTTTAAATCATCTATTTTTATCCATCCTGCTGCAAAACCAGAAAAGTTGGGGAATTCTCCTCTAAGCAGTTTACAGAGTCAGCACATTTCCCCCAAAAATCCGAGTCTGATTTTATTGAATTTGGAAGGATGGAAGGCTGGGTTGATCTTGAGCCAGTGAGAATTCTGCTGGCAGTCAGCAGAATTAGCCTGCAATACTGCTTGTAACCACTGTGCCACCACAACTTTTCGAAAGTGTGGAAGATGATACCTTTAATTGAACTATCAGCCAATATTTCACAGGGCAATTTTATGCACATCTATTGAAGAAATAGTTTTTGTGGAATTCATGAGTATAATTAGAATTACAATTAAAACTTTGTTTTTTAAATATTTTTGTAATATATGGCTTGGCATATTTGTAATTGTTTAAATGTTTCCTAGAATTAGAAAACTTGTTTGTACAGATGGAAAAAACTAGGGAACAGTTCACTTGAATAGAAAGACTCAGCATTCGGAAACAAAATCTAAGGCATGGGTATATGTGCTGACCCAGAGAGGAGATTCTTTGCATGGACAGAGATGGAAATTGCTAAGCATAAATATTTTTTTGTATTGAAACAAGGAAGTAGCAGATGGACTGGAGACATGATTTATTACACAGGAGCATCGTTGATACTAGTGATTAGTTCCAGGGTTCCATAAAAAATTAAATCGGGCTGCAAACCAACTAAAACCAAGAGTTTTGATCTGAGCTGACAGATAAAGATTGAAGCAGCCAGTGACAGGAGTTTACAAAGCAAAGCTGTTTTGATCCCAGGACTGGATTACATTCCAATGGCGAAATTTATTTCAGAGGCAGCAAACCCACCACATAGTTGGGTTACACCAACTAACTCCACAGGCGACTGGTACAAACCGTGATGACATGAAAATGATAAAATGTGCATTACCATGTCACAATACATGCCCTGGCCTTTTGTATCTGAATCCTGGTAGTGGGTACACATACATACCATGTTTCCCCAAAAAGACAACCTATTCAAAAAGTAAGCCTAGACCGATTTTTGGGGGTAGGCCTAATATAAGCCCTACCCAAAAAATAAGCCCTATTGAAGTGGATGGGCATGGCCAGCACAGGAGGTAGCCTTTCACTTCCCTGGTCACCTCAGGGCTGCTCAGCCCATTAATCGGGGCCTGCAGATCAGCTGAGCTGCTTTGGCCGCTGCCTCCAGTAAGCGTGATTGCTTTTGTAGCCAATTGTGGATGCAAAAGAAGCCGGAGGCCTAGCGACGCATCCCACATGCCTCGCGCCCTCGTTACCTAACGGTGACAGTTACAACAGGCAATTCCGTCCATGGAACAGCTGCCTCGTGGGGGCTGCTCCAGCCACTGCCTCCAGTAAGTGCGGCCACTTTTGCCATTGATTGCGGCCACAAAATAGAATAGAATAAGAATAAGAATAAGAATAAGAATAGAATAGAATAGAATAGAATAGAATAGAATAGAATAGAATAGAATAGAATAGAATTATTGAATTGAATTGAATTGAATTGAATTGAATTCTTTATTGGCCAAGTGTGATTGGACACACAAGGAATTTGTCTTTGGTGCATACGCTCTCAGTGTACATGAAAAAAAAAAAGCAGCAGGAGACCAAGTGATGCGCTCCACGCACCTCATGCCAGCCTTTCGAAGGGTACTGTAGCAGCAGCTATCCACAATTTTTTTACCGTTATTTCGTCACAACCCACGTGGCCCAGTACGGTGTTAAAAGTTAACATTTCAGAAATGTTACCGTAGCTGCAGAACAAAGGATGATGTGCAGGAAAATCTCTCTCCACACCTACAGATCGTTCTTTCAAAGAGGAGCCCCGCAGCTATGGTAACATTTCTGAATGTTAACTTTTAACACTGTACCAGGCCACGTGAGTCGGGACGAAATAACAGTAAAAAAATTGTGAATAGCTGCTGCTACAGTATCCTTTGGAAAGCCAGAGCGTGGGGTGCATCACTTGGCCTCCTGCTGCTTTTGTGGCCACAATCGATGGTAAAAGCGGCCACGCTTGCTGAAGGCAGCGGCCGGAGCAGCACTCACGAGGCAGTTGTTCCATGGACGAAATTGCCTGCTGTGACTGTCACCGTTAGGTAAGTAGGGCGCGAGGCATGTAGGGTAAATCTCGTGGCCTCCAGTTTCTCTTGCGGCTGCAATTGGCTGCAAAAGTGGCCACGATTGCTGGAGGTGGCGGCCTGAGGGGCATCCGCGAATCAGCTGTTTCGTGAATGGTGGGATGGCCTGCTGTGACCCTTTGGGAAGCTTGCACAATGGGCTGCTTGCCCCACCCCACCCCGCCTCATACTGGAGGAAAACACAGGAAAAAAAATAAGACACCTCCCCCGGAAAGAAGCCCTAGCTGGTTTTTTGGGGGTCAAAAGAAAATAAGACCCAGTCTTATTTTCGGGGAAACACGGTAGATTATGATGGTTTGTATTGCATTATTATGGACATTTCATTTCCTGTGCCTTCCTCTGGACACTTGTGATTAACTCTATCCAGAATTCAGAATAACAGAGTTGGAAGGGACTTTGGAGGTCTTGGAAGCATTACTGACTTCCAAGTGAATTTTTAGTCTCAAGGATCTCTTGCTGCAATACATACACCCTTATCTAATAATGCATTTGGTGATGCTGTCCTCCCACAGATTTAAATATGGTTTAGTGGCATCTTTGAGTTTTGCATTGAAGGACTTATGCTCATAGATATCAAAATTTCCTGTCCTTCTGAGTCAGACCCAAGTTCTGGGCATTTGCCAGCTTCTTCTTCCCCAGGAACATCATTATTCCCCTTTACGACAGAGTATATGACGTCTAATGCTAAACGTATGATTTGGATTTCAGTTCCCA